GCGTTCGTTGAACCTTCCTGTGTTGCGTTTCCACTCGGATAGGAGTCGGGAGTTCTTCAACAAAAGGACCCGTGCTTGGTTCCATGAGCATGGCGTGCGCACCACAACTGACACGCCGCAGCAGAACGGAGCAGCCGAAAACACAATCCGTTGGCTAAAGGCTAGGGCACGCACGCTTCTGGCACAGGCCGAGGTTGGAACGGAGCACTGGGCTTGTGCAATGGCCACGGCAGCATCGCAGCAACGAGCGCAACAGCTAGGCCTCAAGTCTAAGCTTGCCGCGCCGTTTGGGGCGCCGTGTTCCGTGAAGCTCAAGTTTTACGGACCTTCTAGGGGTGACTTAGGGGATAGGTGGGTAGAGGGCAAGTACATGGGTTTGTCGCCTTCTGTCAATGATGGCCACGTCGTCCTACGCAATGATGGAGTGGGGAACGGCTTTCTCCAAACACTCCACGTGCGCTCACGCCTCCACTCGCCAGAAATGCCCGACCGTGTGTATGAGGGCGATGTGAGGGAGCCCGCGCCGCTCGAGCCAGCAAGGCGTGTGCGTGGGAAGTCTGCGCCAGCAGCTGGCGAGCCATCCTTGCCGCCGCCGCCCGTTCCGCCGCCGGAAGGTGAGCGTGCGCCGGAACCTGCCTTACCTCCACGTCGCGTCCGACTCCGTGAGAAGTCAAGCCTTGCAGTTCGTGAGTCCCGGTTGTCACCACTACCTGACGGTGAGTGTCCGCCTGAGCAAGCCTTGCCTAAAGGTTTAGGTGTAGTGGGTGAAGCCGTTGAGGAGGAGGTTAGGGCTAGTCGGTTTAGTGTTGTGGACCTTGAGGGTTTTGCCAAGGAGTTGCTGCTTGAAGACTGGGACCTCGAAGAGGCCATGTGGGTCTTGGTCCAGTTCAGCCGTCTGCAGTCCCTTAAGGCCGGCCTTTACCGACATGGTGGTGTAGTAGGCACCACAAGCGTTACAAACTCCCACTCTTGGCTCACAGAGCTTATGGCAGCGACGCTTCTGTCTGTAAGCCCAGAGGCCGAATTCACAAGTCTTTGGCTCTCAAACACTAACCCCATGTCCCTGCATGCAGACCATAACAACGTAGAAGGGTCTGTTAACGTAGTCCTTCCACTCAAGCTCCCTCCTGAAGGAGGAGACTTGTGGGTAGAACTGCGAGCAGGAGATGTCCTCCACGGGCCTGTTGAGCAAAGAGTTGACGGTGCAGGAAAGAAGTGGTTGGGCACAACGCACAGCCTACTGAGAGGCAAGCCCTTCTACCTTGACCCCAAACGCCGTCATGCAGCCACTCCTTTTGAAGGTGAAAGGGTTGTGCTCGTAGCGTACACTGTAAACACCTTAGGGAAAGTCCCAGAGTCTGAGCTTCAAGCCCTTGAGTCCTTAGGCTTTCCGCTCCCTGCCTCAGCGCGCTTACCACTCACGACGCAGCAAGATGTAAGGCGCCTAGACGTGTTTGACATGTTCGAGGAGGGCCCCTTAGAGCTCGCAAGTGAAGACAGCTCAAGGGAAGCGCAGAAAGTAGACAAGGGTGGGGGTTGGAAGGAGACTCAAAAGGTTGAGGCTGGAACTGTAGAGCTAGAGGTGTCATGGAACCTCAAGCACACCCCAGACTCTCACACAGCGCAGCGCGAGCAAGCGTTCTGCGCTTTGCAGATCCTGGAGCCACAACCCCCCACACAGGTTGAGGAGGAGCCTTGGCCAGAGCAGCCCGTGCAGTGGGAACTCTCCTTTCCAAACCACAGACGGGTGAGTGGCTGTGTGCACTCCGGTCTGACGACCTGGACCCGCGTCTTTGCAAGTCCGAGCCAGTGTTCACCCCGGACATTGAGCAGTTGCTAAGTGGTCTAACTGAGCCACTGCAGATAGTTCGCACTGTTGACCCGCGAGAGGCGGAAAAGCACAGTGAGGTGTGGCTCCCGTCAGGCCACAAAGAGATCGGGGTCATAGAAAAGGCTGTGCGCCGTTTGCCGCCTGGTGAGGTGCGAAAAGGGAACTGGCTTCACCGCACTGACGTGAGGGTCGTACCGGCAAAGATGGTTTTCACAGTCAAACCGCCTGACGTGCAAGCTGTCGCGCCCGGGAACGGGGAGCATGCAGCTCAGCCAAGCTTGTTTAAACGCAAGGCGAGGCTTGTTGCGTGTGGAAACCATGCCCCTTCCACTGGCACCGAGATATACGCGTCAGGCGCTGCAGCAGAGTCACTTCGTTGTTTGGTGGTCATTAGCTCTAAGAGGCGTTGGATGCTAGGCATCTTAGATGTCACCTCAGCATTCCTCCTGACGCCCATCCCTCAGGGCGAAGGGTTTCCTGTGTTTGCTCTAACACCGCCACGCTACCTTGTGCGACAAGGTCTTGCACAGGAGGGAGAGCTCTGGATCCTCACGCACGCCGTCTATGGCCTCAGGGAGTCACCAAAGCTGTGGTCAGACTTTAGGGATTCCCAGCTTTTGGCCCTTAGATGCGTGGTCAACGGAGTTGAGTTGCAGCTACTCAAGGGCAAGTTAGACACGAACTGGTGGCGCGTCGTGCAAACCAGTGATGGACAAGTCGTGGGAGGTTTAATCACCTACGTCGATGACTTCCTACTTGCTGGCTGTGTTGAAGTCATCGAGGCCCTCGCCAAGGCCATCCAGTCGATCTGGAAAACAACCCCCCTCACACTTGCGTCGCCCAGTCAGCCACTGAGGTTTTTAGGGGTTGAGATCCTAGTGCAGGGTTTAGGGTTTGTTCTGTCGCAGCAGGCCTACGCAGAGGAGCTGCTACGCCTCAACAACGTCAAGCCCACTGCGCTGGGTAAGATCCCTTGCCCAAGGGACTTAGTCTTTCGACACTCTCCTGACGGATGAGTCCCCCGCCGAGGAGTCAGTTCGTACAGCCCAGAGGCTGACCGGAGAAATCTTGTGGCTGAGCCAGCGCACGAGACCGGATCTCGCGTTCACCGCTTGTGTTCTTGCTACGTTGAGCACAAAGGCGCCTGAAAGGGCTGCACGCATCGCTGAAAGAGCACTCGCCTATGTGCAGCAAACCAAAGCCTTTGCTCTCACTGCTGACGCAGATGACAGAGGCCTAGTGGCATACAGCGATGCCTCTTTTGCGCCAGACGGTAACCGCTCGCACACCGGCTGGGTAGTCTTCTTGCACGGATCGCCTGTCTGCTGGCGTTCGGCCAGGCAGGCGTTTGTCACACTCAGCACTGCAGAGTCCGAGCTTGTCGCAGGACTTGATGCTGTCGTTGCATTGCAGTCTGCAGAGGCCATGCTGGGTGAGTTTGGGGTCGTTAACTTAGGTAAGACCTTGAGGGTTGACTCACAGTCTGCGCTTGCCATCGCCATTGGCCAAGGTTCTTGGCGAACCCGCCACCTGAGGGTGCGCGCCAATTATCTCAGGGAGCAGTATGAGACTGGCGAGATCATTCCCGTTTACTGCCCAGGTGTAGAGCAAGCCGCTGACCTTCTCACCAAGGCACTCCCATCTGCAAGGATCAGTGAGCTCTTAGCGATATGGGGCTTGCTTGAGTACAGCGCACAGTCCACTCCACAGGTGAGGTCTCTTTTTGCAGAGCCCCGTGCAGCGGAAGCTGGCACTGTCACTCAGACCGATCAGCATTTGCGAGCGCTGGCGGTTTTGCTAGCATTTGCACAGGTTATAGGCGCTGCCAGTCAGGAGGACGAAGAGCCCGAAGACCTGTCGCTCCCAGTTCCCTTGGACGCCGACCTGATGCTTGCAGTGTGCATTTTCGGTGTTGCGTTTTGTGCCATTGTTTTGTGGGAGTTTCTGAAGTGGAGTTTTGCCTTTTTGTCCCGCAGGACCTTCGGCATGAGCAGTGTGTCGCTAAGCCAGCGAAAGGCACGCAAGTTGCAGCGTCTCAGGGACCGCACGGAGCAAGCAATCTGGGCAGAAATCTCTGAGAGAGAGGCAGCGGCCAGTTCCTCACAGCGTCTTGCGACCGCTTCCGGGAGGAACGCGCCAGCTTCCACTAGGCAGGCCGATGAAGCACCAACTCGTTTCTTTGCAACGCCAGAGGGCAACACGCTTCATCGCACCAAGGCCTGTTCCACACTTGCCCGTTCACACAAGTTTGTTGTGTTTGAGGTCTGCCGGCAGTGCCACAGGAGCCAGGCAGACTGCACGCAGCATAGCACACGTTAGGGCGTCCGCCGCCCTGACGGGTAGGTTGCGCGCCCCATTGCGCAGGCCTGCCAGCAGTGCTTTCCTTTTGCAAAGAGGTGCCGTGAGAGCCCTCGCACTCTGAGGCCAGCCGGCCAGCTTCAGCCTTTCCTTCGGTAGGAGCTCGTACCTCCTCCCGGAAGGGATGGACATGTACAGGTTTTGTTTGTCGCAATACCCTAGCGGTGTTGCGAAGGAGGAGTGTTGAAGCCTCCTCCTGTACATGTCATCCTGTAGCAGTTGCACCATGCATTTTTCCTTTGTTGCTTATAGGCCCGAACAGTAGCCTTGAGCATGTTTAAGACAAGCATGTACAGTTTCACATTAGACATAGTAGGTGCCAAACCCTACAAAGCAGCTCTTGTCTCTTCGTTTGTGCGTGTAAAATCTTCGCGTTTTGTGAGTGCTTTGCCATGGCTTTGAGGGACGATTCTGGGGAATTGCGCAGTCCACTGGTTTCTTCCTCACAGCCTGCTGGTACTCACCAGCATTTAGGCTTTAGGCTTTAGGCTTGAAGGTTTGGGGTGTAGAGTTTAAGGTTCAAGGGTTAGGGTTTCAGGGGGAGGGTTTTGGGTTTAGGTTTTTTATTTGGGGGGGGGGGGGGGGGGTGAAGGGGGGAGGGGGGCTGGCGAACCGAGAACTGGTATCATAGTATATATGTCTATATATATATATGCACTTATTTATTTCTTTATTTATTTATTTGTATATGTGCATAAAAACATATACAAAGATAGAGAGAGAGAGAGAGAGAGAGACAGAGAGAAAAAGCAAAAACAAAACAAGACGCAATAAAACACTGTCACGCCGCTAAACCCAGCCCTGTCTAAAGGCCCCCAGTGCGCGCAGAGAAGAGGAAGCGGCCCTCGCCACTTTCACCCAAAAAGGGTTTTGGGCCATGGGGCTGGCTGTCTGGGGTTAAGGGCTTAGGATTGCGGTGAGGTTTCAGGGTTGAGGGTCGAGGATTTGTCGAAAGTTCAAGGTGGTCTTCGACGCGGAAAGCTTGCGTAGATTGCAGAATTTAGAGGTTTAAGGGTTCAGGGGTTAGGGTGGGTCCGGGTTTAAGGGTTTAAAGTTCGGGTTTCTGATTTCAGGGTCAACGGTTTAGGGGTTAGCCCATGACAAAAAACTCTTTCATTCAGGGCAGATCCCCAAGTGACACCTGTTGGTCCATGTATATTTTGAAAACTCATACATGATGGTCCCAACACATCATACCCCGTATGTGATGGGTACCCCCACAAAAATGAATCCAATATATTGCGCCCACAGCCCCAGACTCCCAAAGCCCAAAACTACATCCCCAAACCCTCAAGAAGCACAGATCCTGAAGGAGAGACCTTAAACCCAGAGCCCAAACCGCGCAACACCTTTCCAAAAAAAATCTCAGCGAACCTACCAGATGTGGGTTTTTTCGGTTTTGCTGGTGGGGCTTCAGGTTGCGGCTCGTGAGCTGCATCTGTGTTTGGGGTTGAGGGTTTAGGTTTCAGGGCATAGGGGTTTCTGCTTTGGGTTGAAGTTGAGAGTTTCAAGTTTAAAGGGCTTGAGGTTTTGGCTCTAATGTTCATTGTAGGGTTCAGTGTTTAGGGTTTGGTGTTCAGAGCTTTGGGCTCAATTAGTTTGAGATTTCAGAGCTATATGTTGTCATTTATACATCCTTACTTGTGTAGTTTCGTTGTGATTTTCACCAACACCCAAATCTCCCAAAACCCAAATCCCCAGACCCGAACTATATACGCCTATATACGCCCTGTCCGAACCTGTGAATTTACAGGTCCGAAGCCCCAAAAAATGATTCCCAATACGGTGTGATAACACGATAACGCTGCCCACGTGCACGCTGCGTACCGTGGTGCTTTTGGATTTCTGGGGGACGCTTTGGGACGTCCGGGCTCATGACGTTCAACGCTTTTTGGAAGTGTGGGCTCACGAAATGCGAATCTGTCGTCTCGTTTGGACGCCTGGGCTTACATGGTCTCTCACTGTTTGGTGTCCACGCTGGCAGAATCGATCATTGCGCAGCGACCTAAACTCCTAAATCCTCAACCCTCAACTGTCTGAGGCTTTGGAGCAGGTCGTGCACCTTGTCCGCGCAAGTTCCGAGATCACAGGGGCCACTTGCATGCAGCCATGAGCGGTTGAGGGCACTGTCAACTGCATTTGCAAGAAGTTTTTGTGTGTGGATTCAATCTTTTTTGCTAATCTTGCACTGAAGTCTCCAAGTCCACTCCCAAGCCTCTTCAGCCAAGACCTCCAAAACCCAAGTCCTACCACACAACATCCTAAAATCCCCATCCCCGCACCCTAGAAAGCATAAATCCTAAGCTCCAATGAAGCCAAAAATACTACACTCGAAACCCTGAACTCCTTAAATCCTTGTCAGGTTCGCCTCACCAATTGTGCCATCCTCGGCCAGCATGCCTCCATCACGGAGGTCGGCCGGTTACTGAAGCAGATGGGCCCCCCGGCAGCAATGGGGTTTAGGTTTTGTGGTTTTTGATTTGGGGCTCCGAAAGCCTAGGTAGGATGTAGGTTAAAGTTTGGCTGTCCGAGGCGTATTCTTTTATTTTGCAGTCTGAATTGGAGGGTGGCACGGTAGGGACAGGGCGAGAGTTAAAGGATCTTCCACCCAACCCAAGCTGGGTTGAGCTAGGGCTGGTCGACCCCTGAACACCGAAATCCGAGAACCTATGCGATTTGGCATGGCGGGCCAGCAGCGTTCTGACGCACGGAAGATCATGTTGAGAATAAGCGGATGCTCCGTGCTTAGACCTGGATAGCTCTTGTGTAGGGGCCATGGCGGCAAGAAGTTCATTGCAAAGCTTAGGGTCCACTCCTGGAGCAGTTACATTTCGAATGCTTCGGGCCTCATGATATTGAACTCTGAACCCTAACGGGCTCTTGCCCAGTCCAAGGAAGTACAGCAACCAACCCGGGATCTCTAGCCCGAAGCCCTAAACCCTGAACCTTCTAGGCACTTTTAGCCCTTCTAGATTCGCCCTTTGGGCCTTGGTTCGTTTTTTTGTGGCGAATTAGCCAACACCACAAAAAGGTGCCCTTACTGTATCAGGCTATGATCGAAGGGCTACCTGGCCTTAAACCCTAAAGCACCCTCGGCCCTAAACCGTCACATCATGTACAGAAGGTGCAGGCGCCACGGCACACTTCTTGCGAGAAGTGGACCTTTCTCAGCGCCTTGCCTGAAAAGCCCGAATGCCAGTTGAATTTAAATGAAGGGCTTAGGGCAGTGCAGGGTCCAGGGTGTAGGGTTTCAAGCTTCCGTCCGCGACCCAGACAGCTCGCGATCTCGCGACCAAGCCTTGCTCAAAGACCCCAAAACCCTGCAGTTAAGCAATGGTCCTTCGATGCAAATACGGATCTCAGATGTGATCCTAAACCAGAAACCCCAAGAGTATATTAGAACCTGAAGCCCAATGAATCCGCCCGTTTTGAGAACCCACCCTATCCGAAGCTCCGCAACCCTAAATTGAAATCAAAGTAAGCATCTCATAAATTTCGGTCATGCTTTTTGTGACAAAGATTCAAACTTGTTGTACCAGAACTTCTGGGTTTAAACATGGCTGATGATAACGACGACGATGTCAGAATGTTTAAACTTATGGATCCGCATGCTTGAGGTCAAAATGAGGTGCACGAGGGTTCAGGGGGAAGGGTTTTCTTTGCGTTGGCGTCTTCTTCGGGTGCTGCTACTTAACAGGGCTCCTTGCCACGCGGAAACCGCCCCCAAGAAGCCGTTGATAGCACTGCAGTTAGAGACGCCGAGCAGCACAGAGTGTCGAGGCGAGGAGAGGTCGGCGCGAAGGTCTTAAGGGGTTTAGGAAAGTTCAGGGTTTTTGAGGATTTAGAGACCTCAAGCCTCCTTTCGACCTCAACCCTAAAATCAAACAGGCAAAAGCTGTTGGCTAGCCCCCAAACCATACAGGCACGTGACTGCAATTTGCAGGAACATCCGCGAACTTACAGGTTCTAGGCCAAGATTGCGGGTTCGTGGTGCTAGTCGACTTTTCTCCAAACACTTGGCTTGCAAGAACAGACTAGGGGAGTCACCCTTTACGGGTCTGCGTGGCCAGTTATCCAACGATATCCAAGTCGCTGTCCGTTTTGAAAGCCCGAAATATACAGGGCCGTATTTCAAAAACGAGCCAAATAGGCACCATGGTTGTGAAAGCCGTCCAGTTCAGGCTTCAAGGCTACGTTTGCTTAGTCTTCGGGAATGAAGAGGTTTTTGGCGCTCGTAGCTTAAGGATCGGGGGCTAAGGTTTAGTGCCCTCCCTGCACCCAGGAATTTACTGGACGACGAGTCCGCACGAAAGACGCTGAGAGATGAATTGGCCTATTTGTTCGCCAACCCGTTGAGCACAACTTAAAGCTTTGAGCCCTGCACCCTGCTTGCCAATAATGAACCTCCCCCTCCTCTATCCGGTAGGGGGCCGGAAAATGTAATTGCAGAGGGTTTGGGTTTGAACGGGGCTGTAGTTTGTTGAAGAGGGCTCGTTTTCATAAGGGCTGGCCTCTCCTGGGCCTCTTCTAAGCCTCTTCTGGGCCTTTTCTATAGTTTTATGATTTCTTTGTGTGGGGGGGGGGTTTACAAGTGAGTTCCGCGACTGTTTGTTTTTTTTTTGCGGGGCAAGTCAGCACAAACTCGTGACCGAGTTCTAGACACATCACCCGAAACCTTGACTGCCTAAACCCTACACCTGTGAGCCTAGCCGACATGACTCTGGTGTCTTGACGATCTGAGGACGAAAATCTTCACGGGGGCTGATCCTAAGCATTGTACCTAGAGCAACCTACATGGTCACCTATCCCTTCTTCAAGAGTTTACAGGTCACTCCACGCATGAGATCACCTCCACAACGTAGCAGTTTTGGGTCAGCGCATTAGGTTCTTAGGGCTTCTATGATCAGTAATGTTTCTCACATGCCCGGTGCTACACTCTTTTTCTAGTTTCAAGGGGCAGGTTCCTTTATGAACACCTTTTAAACAAAAAGGGTACCTTGTTCTTTCCTGCTTGGGGATCTAGCCGGGTGGCATTCAATATAGGGTTATAGGGATGCATTGGAGGATCGTGGAAACGGCCATCAAGGAGCCCCCCCCCCTCCCTTTGGTGCTGGGTTCGGGATTGGGTGTTTAGGGTATTGGGTTTGCCTTCCTTCATGGTAGGGTTTCGGAGAATCCCTCACCACCCTACCGTGGCTGAGGGGCTTTCTACCCCCGAACCCCAAGCCCTAAACCCCTGACTATGAAGAATCTGCCTCCACAAATTGGCATAAATTCAGAAGGACGCCCTGTTTTATTGTTTTAGGGTTAGGAAACGCTTGTAGGCAAGAAAGGGCAGCTTTCTTTTTCCTTGGGTTCTAGTTCCCATAACACGCTTTCCTTGAACCAGCAGCTTAACAAGCCGTCCTTGTGCAGCCAATAGTTGAACTTAAAAGTTTTGGGTTTGTCTTCTTCTACCGGTACATAGGGCTAAGGGTCGAGAGCAGACTTGTGTCTTTGGTTTTGGAACCAGGAGGCTTGGGCAACAGATGTCTCTACCGGAACCTTAAAACTGCCGTTTAATCTTCTGCAAGAACTTTCCCTGACAACCTCCCCGATCCCGAGCCCGCATGAAAACCTTAGGCCCTTTTGCTTCTCCTGCGTCCTTCTCACGTCGCAGGAGCGTTGCGAGCGCGGCTCTGGCGAAGGGGCCCGAGGGCCGCTGTGGCAGCTGAGCTGCCTTGCAGGGGCTTTAGGGTTGAGGCTAAGAGGGTAAGAGGGTAAGAGCCGTCAGAACAGTAGCAGCAGTAGTAAAAGCAAGAGTAGTACGAATGCATCCAGGGGAATATCGTTTCGAACCACCTGCGCCTGGAGTGAGTTCGGACTGATGGCGGTACCGCGGAGCAGCGGAGTAGGCACAAAGTCCATGTTTCATGGTTTGCATTGGGGAGTATTTGGTACACCGTTGTAAATTTGCACATTTTGTACTGCTCATGAAGTCCAGTGGAGTCTGTCATGTCCACTTCGGTGTGCCAAGAGTCTAAGGGGGACGGGGTTTGGCGCTTTCAAAAAGGGGCCACGCTACTAGTCTACGAGCTTAACGCACTTTCGTCTTGCCGCATTGGCATGGTGACTTCAGAAGCCCCTTGCCATGGGAGGGTTTTTGGGGTGGGGGGGGAGCAACTGCAAAAGGACCCTTAAGCCCAACGTTCCCAGAGCTCGCCGATCTGAGTTCTCGACAGTCCGAAGGTTGACGATAGTGTGATCGTCACAGGGCCTCTTTCACTTAATTCGTTCGATAGGGCCTTTCTTTCATGTAGGATTTAGGATACCGTCCCGTGCTAGGTTAGACTTGAGCTCCAACTGCATCAAGCAGCCGCAGATGCTGTTCGATCGCCTTCAGGCCTGTCATCTTTTGGCTCCCGACTCTGCACCTCGCCCCAAACGACCTCAGAAGATTCACGATGTTTAGCCCGAAGTCTTGCATCTCATCCACACCAGACACATGTACAAGTGCGAATGTTCACTCAAAGCATTGAGCCTGAGGGCCTGGACATGAGTTTTGTTCAGGGCTTCCAGTTCTCCTTTGCGGAAGATGTTGCAGCTTGCAGTGTTGCTTGCGGTTAGTTTATCAGTTGCTTATGGTGTAGATCATTCCGGAGGTGTCTTGCCTCAATCCCTGGGGACTGTTAGGGTTCACAGAGAGAGTTTAGCAGGCCTACAGTGCCTTGAGGGTGTAAGGCTTATAAGGTTTATAGGGCTTGGAGAGCTCAGGGATGATAGGGCTCAGGAGGGCGTATCATTTGCGAAAGTTTCTGAGGGCTTACACGCGTTAAGGCTAAGGTTTTCATTGGATGGTCATAGCGTGTATGCGGTTTAGAGGGTTATGATTTGTGGGTTTAGGGCTCAACTCTAAACCCTCAACCCTCAGCCCCAAACCGGCAAGCGAGGCGTGGGCTTCATGGGCCTACAGAGAAGGCGCGCTTTGTCTGGCACAGAGTCTCTCGGACAGAAATGCGAGAAGGGTTCTACAGCATTTCGTGGGTTGGCCTGTAGGCTCACAGGTTCATGAATAGGTATGTCGAGGAATATGACTACAGTAAGTAAGGTCATAACCAGTTTCAATTTTCACCCAAATTAGAATTACTTCGCCATGAATGCTTGTCCACTTCAGAGAAATGGCCATGCGAGGTCCAGGGCCCAGGGTTTAGCGGTTAGAGCTGGGGGAGCCTTTTTTATCGCTGAGGGTTTTGCAAGTGGAGAATGGCGTTGAGCAAGAGATCATAAATCCCAAGCTCAGAAGCAGTGTCTTCCAGTCGAGCCAAGTTGTTTAGTCACCATCATAAGTTCTTGCTTGCGGAAGTGTCACGCCCGGCTGAAGGAAAACTTCTGTCTACGGGTGTACAACGCTGGCATGTGTGTCATCAATCACCCTAGATTCAGTCAAATGTCTGCAGGTTTTAGGTACGCAGTTCTAGAACCGGCTCGTTTGGCCTCATGGTGGCTGCCATGCCACAGGGCATGGGCTAGGT